TAACCTTGAGAAGGAAAGGAAAGGGTTGCATGCCATGGTGAAGTCCAGATAGGGTTCTAGAGGATGGTATCTCAGACTTGATTCATCCACACCAGCAAAATTGGCAGTGATTATATGTTGCAGCTAACAAAATGGCCTGCTTTTAGGAGAAACATACTGAAGCATGAAATGCTCATCATCATAATCAGTATTCTCATGACAATGGAATTACAAGTATTGCTACATAGAGTAAATTTGATGAGTCTTTAATTTCCCTGATTAAGAAGTCAAGGATGACACTATTCCAGTTGATAGTTATAGCAGTTTAAGTGAGTTAAAGATTTCTTGAGCGTAATATTATGTATTGTGGAAGTGACTGTTTCTCTTGCCACCTATCTTTTAAAGCAAAACAAAACCAAGTTCCTTGAATTATTGAGTCTGTCCACTCCACTGCTATAAATATCCTAACTGGGGAGAATTTAGGGACTTAAGTGGATTAATATTCTGTCTTTTTAATTGATATTAAAAGCTTTTGATGAGAAGGAAATGTGTTTAGAAAGGTGTTTTAAATAGCACTTGAAATGGATGATGACAGACCTAATGGAAGAAGGCCCTTCTGGTGCTTATGGGCATGACCAGTCACACTAGGATAAAGTTTCATTCAACTGTGAAATCGGACATGACCGATTGATTGTTACTCGGTGCCAGGATATCGATTAGCTCTAGAGCTTTCGGCATGGGAAGCTTGTTAATGCTGTACACTGCGCTGGTTGTATCGGGAACGATGAATGGACAAGAATAAAACTAAGCAATTGGGCACTGCTAGATGTAGCATGCCGTAACTGTCCACTCCAGTGATTTATTTTACTTTATTTTTTTAAGGTCTGATTGTATGTTGTTAACAGACAGACTTGTTTAGTGATCCACCACACTGGTGCACTGGGCTGACCAGCTTTGCTACAAGAAAAGCTTTGCACACAAAAGTTTTCTGTCTCCCAACTTTTCCTCAGATACTCTAAAATGTAACGTGTCTGGGTTTTTGTAAGACCTTGATGCATCAATTGAAAATGTAGAAGTGTTTAGAAATCTGGTGTCCCAAAGTGCATCTTGTCCACAATGTCTTCTAATGTTCTAATTTATTTAAATTGCAAAAAGTTTGCAGTTATACAACATGCGTACAGTTTAAAATCCTCTTGCACTGATTGTTGCTTCTATTTATAGCTAATATGCGTGTTTGTCCCAGGGAATTGTTACAAAGAAAAGAAGGAAGAAGAAACCTTTTAAACTCCTGGAGTTTTGAGTGTTTTGATTCAGAAAAGGATTGTTTTATTGTAGCAGTTCAACTTTGGTCAGTTAAATTTTTGCTAGAAGCCATTGCATTGTAGATTGATTTTTCCTGCCTCTCCTCCAACTATAAGTTCAGTGTACAAAGCACACATTTAATGCTCCATTTAATGCTGCAGCAGTGAAAGAAACACTTTTTGGAAATGTGAAATCTCTCATATATGGAAGACAATAGACACTAACTTTATCTTGGATACTGTGGTGGTCTTACTTGACTTACCTTGGTAAAGGAAAGGTATGTGTTTATTCCTTGTATTTCTTCTATCCAGTTATTTAAAAAGCTGATTGAAAATACATTTTTCCTCTCTCTCAGACTGTTTCATTGTGTAAGGCTTGCTTTGTCTATGTTGCTACGTTCTATCTTCAATCTCCATTTAATTCTTCATGAAACTTCTATCCTGTAAAAAGGAAATTATTTAAATCCTAGCAAAACCAGTTGCTTCCAAAACCATCTTTGTCTGTGTTTAATCTGAGATTCATCTCTATTTTTAATACAGTTGAGCATTACGTTATACTTGCTGCATATTTTTATTAAAACTGCCAACATAATTGAATTGTTTGATCATTACACATATATATTGTAAAACAGCTTTACACTTTTATCAATGCAATGCGTAAAATTCAATACATGTTTAAAATACTTTAAATGGTCCTTTGGTTGGATATTTCAGAATATTTCATTGTAAAGCAGAAAGCAGCACAGTGCAAGACTTTTGATTTAATATAAGTTTTTGACTATAGTGACCTGATGAATTGCTGTAAAATAAATAAATAAAAATAAAAATAAAATAATTAGTTTTTCCACCCCCCTTAAAATATTTATTTTTAATAGAAACAGGACCACAGATTTCATTTGGTATTATTCCATTATGGAATGTGGTATTTACTTCCGATACCAGTATTGCTGATCATAAGAAATCTGCCTGACACTGGGCTCTCTCTTCAGGATAGTCATCCAGAATACAGCAGCAGAATGATGTGTACAAAAGGCACTTTATTATGTTAATCTTAAAAATATATTGCTGTGCCCTCAGTGGTGTAACAAGAATACTGAGGGTCATAAATCTTCACCAAAACAGTCACTGGATCCTGATTTTTTTCTGATCTCATATACTAGGAACTGGCAGCTCTGATTTAACTTCCACTGCAGCAGTGGTTGCTCAAACTTTCTGAAAACATCCCTTCTCCCGATAACTTTCATAGGCAGGTGCAATCCAAACCATAGGAATGCTTTTCTAGCACCGCTGCAGGTTTAGGGAATCCATAAAAACTGTGTGCCAGGGTGGCTGTATTTTACAAAACTTGGGGAGTTCATTCCTGGGGGACTGTAGAAAAGGCCTGGTGGCATCTACCCTGTTCACAGCAATGCCCCCCTCCAGTCCTAGGGACCGGGTCACTCATATTATGGCTTTGACTGCATGACGTACCTTTCACTTATAAGCCGTATTTCATCAAATGATTTTTCAAAGTTATGAGAGAGGCAAGGATTTTTTGAGTGATATCTTCTGAATCCAAAGACAGCTGGTTTGACTAGAAAGAAAACTGGTTTTCTCCTGCAGATGTGCTGATCCTGTTGAAAAGTATAATTAAAAAGCAGCAGTTCCACCTGAGATGTTATTCCCAGCTGTAAAGCTAATGAGTTTGTGACAGATATTTCTGACAATCCGTTTTAATTGCAAGCTCACTCAGGTGAGGCTCTTGTTAACTCTCAAAGGAACTGTTGTAAAATCAGTGCAGTTTTCCTTTAAGTCAGGAGTGCTAAAGTTTAAGATTTTTGCACCTTATGCAAAGCTTTCTGCTTCCGTGAAACAGCCTCTATAAACTACTATGTGTTAATTGTAACATATTTTATCCCAATAATATCAAGTTCTTTTTAATATATAAAACACTGTCAAAAGCCTGGAACTGTGATGCCATTTGATATTTCTCTCTCATGGCTTTTAGTTCTAAGATGGCAGAGTGACCATGGGAGACTGGAATTTCCTTGGTGGCATTTTGGAGGAAGTCCACATTCATTCCACTATTATCGGAAAGATCTGGCTAACTATTCTATTCATATTTCGAATGCTTGTCCTTGGAGTGGCAGCTGAAGATGTCTGGAATGATGAACAGTCAGAATTCATATGCAATACAGAGCAACCTGGCTGCAGAAATGTTTGCTATGATGAGGCCTTTCCTATCTCTCTTATAAGATACTGGGTCTTGCAAGTTATATTTGTGTCTTCACCTTCTTTGGTATATATGGGCCATGCCTTATACAGACTAAGAGCATTAGAAAAAGAGAGACAAAAGAAAAAGGCACAAGTCAGACTGGAGCTTGAAGGTGTTGAATTAGAAATGACTGAAATTCGAAAAAGACTGGAGAGTGAGCTTCGTGAACTGGGCCAAAGAAAGCTAAACAAAGCACCTCTAAGAGGCTCCTTGCTTGGCACATATGTGATGCATATTTTTACTAGATCAGCAGTTGAAGTTGGGTTTATGATTGGGCAGTATCTTCTTTATGGTTTTCAGCTCGATCCCCTCTACAAGTGTCAGAGAGATCCATGTCCAAACACGGTTGATTGTTTTGTGTCGAGGCCAACGGAGAAGACTGTATTCATATTATTTATGCAGTCAATAGCAACCGTGTCACTGTGTTTAAACATATTGGAAATTATCCACCTAGGGTTCAAAAAAGTTAAGGAAGGGCTTTTTGGGCAGGATGAGAAAAAGGATGACATTGATGACTTCTATGTAAGTAAATCAAAGGCAAACTCCATAGTACCCCGGTCTTCCATGGGAACCTCTTCAACTCCACAAAAAACACTTCCTTCTGCACTCAGTGATTACACCTTGCTGATGGAAAAGCCTCCTGACACAGTGGTCTATCCAGTTTTAAATTCACCTTCTGTGTTCCAGTCTATTCGAAACAGCCAGACAGAAAGTAGCGATAATTGCCTCCCAATTGAACAAAAAAATAAACAGTCAGAAGGGATGCAGACTTCTAATGCTGGGAACAGTCAGCCTGGCAAGACTAGCTCAAATGATAATGAAACTTTAATTAAAGTATTTGAGTCAGAAAGCAATTATATTCAGAAACAAGATGAAGAAAAACATTTCCCCAATGGTACTTTTTGTGGTCGTATAGATGCTGCAAGAGGTATGTGTTTAAACAGTCTTGTTGACCTGCCACCTGCGTGTTCTCTGCAATCTGATACTGCATCCATTGCTTCAACGGATGGCCTGGCCAAGCCAGGTGAAACTCCTTCCTTGTGGAACTTCTCTGCGGTGTTTGCGAGTGTAGGGTCTCCAGCAAATTCTCCCATGGGCAAGAATGGAAAACAACCTAGTTTCAGTGGAAGCAAAGCCCTGCCTGTTTGCAAGATGGACTGCAAAACATCCAGCAGACCAGACACTCCTGATTCTCTGGGCAAGATGAGCTCGGACTCCAAACAGTACAAGGACTACGATAGTCCTCAGGTTCTCTCTCCGTCTCGGCAAATGTCCTTGGCAAGGAACACCAGCAGCAGGCGTTCTCCTACCGATCTCCAAATCTAAGTGACTGGACAATTTTTTCTTTTGTTTTTCAGCTAATATCTCATCAATATATTGCACCAGAAATATGTGAGCCCTGGGGAAATGGGGACGTTGTACAGCACAGCATGAGTAATAGCTATTTCTGAGGGTAGTCAGCTGTTCCACCTAGGGAATGAGAAATACTAATAGAGTGAGCCCTTCTTCAGAAGTTGTGGGGTACTCTTCTAAAGAAGCATGTAACAATTCAATCCAATTCATTTTTAAGGATTCTGGCTAAAAGCCTTGATCCTGAAAACAGCATGGAAGCATGTAACAATTTACTTCTTGGTAATACAAACATGAATTAATGGGGATGTCAGACTAAATTACCCTCCCCTCCGTTCCAAAAACAGGAGGTGGTAAAGGTCACTGTCATTTGTACCAACTCCTATTGCAGGAAAATTCTGGAAATTTGAAATTCAAGTTCTGGGCCTCGCTACATACAAAGAATAGATTTTTAATTGGCTGGGTATAAAAAGATAAAGATTAATTATTATTGTCTGAAAGCATTTAAGAACTGCAAAGTGAAATTAAGCAAAGGGAAAGGTACAGTCTTGCAGGAAAATCCTGTAATAGGAGTTCATTCTTTTCTCTATACCTGATTAGGAAGTGAGAGAAATCCCACTATTTCAACTTTTAAAAAAAAATTAACACAAAAAATTAACTGGACAAAGTTCTAGACAAATGAAAGAGTTGTTTTGCTGAGGGATTGGGTGAGAAATTTGGGAAGAGAAGGGAAAAGTTGAGATCTAATGAATCCTTCCACCCTAATTTCTACAATTCTGTGGCCTGAGTCATATTCAACCATCGTTTCCACAGGTACAGCTCTGCTGAGAACTTCAGTTGAATTTGGGCCAAACTCCTTAGCCCAGGCTACTGCCATTATAGTATGTATTACCTTGTGACAAGCATGGATTATGAATGGCTTGTGAGCTTTTTACTATGCTTTTTCACTTGTTTAGCAATTAAAATGCATCTTCTAGTGAGATCTGTGATGATTCAAAGGCATTTTAAATACTGCAAAATGATCTTTAATATCCTGAAAATACAATCCACTGGTGAGGTGGCATCAGGTGCAGCAGCCCAGGTTGCTAGCCCTGCACACTTGCTTCAGCTGCCATCTATGAGTGTTACTGTCTTGGGGTTATAGCCCTGGGAAGTGATCCTCTTCCCTTTTAATGAGAAGGATCAAAAATGGCATAAAAAGGGATGCACAACCCCCCCAATTGTATTAAAAAAGGGATGCATAACTCCCCCCATATGTTGCATAAAAAGCAATGCACAAAACCCTGCTGAAATGTTGCAGAAAAAAGATGGACACCCCCACAATTGCATAAAGAGGGATGCACAACCCTCACAAAAATTGCATAAAGAGGGATGTGCAACCCCCCCAAACGGTGCAAAAAGCTATGCACAGCCCCCTCTGAACTGCATAAAAAGGGATGCAACCCCCCCCAAACGTTGCACAGATAAGGATGGGCAACCCCCCCAACTTGCACAAACCCCAAGCGTTGCATCAAAAGGAATGTACAACCCCCTCCGAAAAAATGTTACATAAAAAGGATGCCCCCCCACAAACAAACATTGCATAGAAAAGAGATGCACACCCCTCCCAGTCACATGTCCAGACACGCGAGTGCCGTAAGCCTCCGCTCCGCAGGGGGCGCTACGCCCACGGCTGGGCAGTACGGAAGCTGGGGGCGTGGCCAGACACGAAGTGTCTCCCCGGCAACCCGGGAAGCGCGCGGCGGTGGCCCAAAGCCCAGTGCGCAGGCGCGACGCAGGCGCAGTGGTGGGCCGGTAGGGATGGCGCACTACAAGGTGGGCCTGGTACCCCCCCCGGCCTGTCCCCTTCCCCCTGGGCTCCCCCCACCGCTGATCGCCTCCCCTCCCCTCAGGCCGCCGACTCCAAGCGCGAGCAGTTCCGCCGCTACCTGGAGAAGTCTGGGGTGCTGGACACGCTCACCAAGGGTAAGCGCCGCCTCGGGCCGGGCGGGCGCCTCACACGGCCACCCCGCCCCGTCCCTGGCAGCCCCCGCTCCGGTGTCCGGGGTTGGAGAAGCTATGCTTGTACACGGTCAAATATGGCACGGGTGCGGGGGGTACACAGTCAAATACGGTAAGGGTGTAGTGGGCGCACAGTGAAACACGGTACGGGTGCGGGGTGGCATGCAGTGAAATACGGTACGGGCACAGGCACTGAGGGCTACACGGTCAAATATAGTAAAAGCATGGACGGGCACATGGTAAAATACAGTAAAGGCAGGGGCTCTGGAGTGGTTGGGACCCCTGGGCCCTGCTACATGTTCCTCACGTGCCTGGTTTGCTGGTCAGCGTGTGGCCGATATAGACAGCGCATGCGTGCAAAGTGCTGATCATCAGATTCATGGGTGAGTTGTTGCCCTGTACCTTTAGATGGGCCACATGGGCAAAGGAACGGTCGCGTGCTGAAAACAACAGCATAGCTATTAAAAAGCCAACCTGCTAGGAAGTTAGTACTTGAAAATGCGCACCCACTCTAGGGTTGGCTTGTATCCCGCTGCCATTTGATCGCATAGCGGGGCCCGAAGGCCCAGATCCGCAAGGGTGCTTGGGCACGGGAGTGCACCCTGCAGGGACGACTGAAGTGCTCAGATCCACCGCTGAAAAGCCACCCGACTTCAGGCGTGTGAAAGCTGGTGTGCTTTGTAATGTTTGTGTACATCAGTTATGAAAAGACCATACAGTAATACTTCTGTTTTTTAAAGAAATGTTAAAAAGCTTATTCAGGCCAGATCTTTGCTGTCATAGAGCAGGGGTTAGCAGTGGTTTTGGGCAGAGTGACCAAACCACCTGCAGCCTCAACTAGTAAGATGTTGGCGTGCCAGGGGCGGACAGCGAGGGAGCTGCGAGGGGCCTGATCCTCATGGTGGCAGCACAGCCCTGGCCCCTTCCCTGCCATCTGCCTTGGGATGCGTGTGCCAAGCAAAATGCCCCCTGTGTGCGCCATGCTCTGGGGGTTGCCTACCCGTCATTGTGGCGTAACCATAATATGCAGCACTTTGTAGGGTGTCTTTCTTTTCTTTTTTATAATTGTCTTTGTTTTTGACCACAGTGGTTTTGTCTCTGCATGAGCGCTCCACTTAGTATTCTCAATAGGATGCTATTCCACCAATGTCAAAGTAATTTCTTGAAATCTCACAGGAACCACCTTTGACTGTAGGCACATTTTGAAGTAAAAAAAAAATGCTCAAGTACTCTGAACTATTTAATTTCCAGTGTTGGTAGCCCTATATGAAGAGCCAGAGAAACCAAACAGTGCATTGGAGTATCCTTTTTGTTATCCTGCAAGATAACAAATAGAAAAGAGTACTGTGATGTTTACTCCATGAACATGTTGATCACAGAGATGTGATGTGGTATGGTGCTAAACTTTGCATCTGAAACTGAGTTTTAGTTTCTTTGCTACCCTGGAGAACACAAACAGCAGCCCAGTCGCCCAATGCCTGAAGAAAGGTGTTTGTATCCAAAAGCTTGCAAAAAACTTTCCCCGAACTCATTAGTTGGTGTAATAAAAGATATCACAGCTACCCAAAGTGTCCTTACACCAACACAGCTGCAACCAGCAATGTCTGAAACTGAGGCACCGTTTGCTGGTTCGGAGGTATGGGAGGGACCGTCGCGCTTCTAGAGGAGGGTACACAAGAGGAACAGCTGGGGAAGTAGAAGGGAGACGAGGCAAATACATGGAGGGAAAAGAAAGAGAAACTAAAATCTATTGAATTGTTGGGCAAGTCAGAGCGTGGTTGGAATGAGGAACTGTTACTTTTATTATCCATAAGACTCAGAAGGGTGCATAGTGACATAAGCTCAGTTGGTTTGAAAATTGCTTTGTTAACATAATACCCAAGTCTGAGATGAATCTCTCTAGTCTGGACTGTTTGAAAACAGCTTGTTTTTTAAAGATTAAGTTATGTTCCATATCAAATGTAATAATAATGGCGATCTTGGAAACAATGATTGGGCAATCAAGTACAGTAGAAAACTGGAAATCTCTTACATGAGAAATTACTCCCAACAGCTTAAAACTTGTTGGGAGTAATCAAGGCTCTGCACGAGCGCTGGTCCCTGGTCTGTTAGCATGATTCTTTAATGCCAAAAGGAAGAAAAAGTATATTAAACACTCTAAGACTTCTCTTTGGTTGGGAACTTCTTTCTTTGTACATTCAAAAATAGGTTATTTTTTCATGTGTTAGTACTCACAACTCCAGTTTTCTCTTCCTGTGAGACTTCCTATTTGACATCCTCCAGCAATAAATTGAGGCTTTACTGCACACAGTACAGTAGTAGCTAGCTAAGTGTTTTTAAAAAAAAAAAAAAAAAATCATTTTAGTCTTATAGTAGTCACTTGTGGAAGAGGGTAAAAAGTATCTAATAGGGTTTTTTTTTGCTATTTTTTAAACAATTCAGTTACAGTCTCCTTTCAAGGCAAAATAAATTTTGCTCATGTATTTTATTATGTCCTCTTGGGCTTGCAGATAGACATGCTGTTATCCTTCTTTCTTAAGGAGAAGGTCAGTTTAACTTGTCAATCTGTTCTGGTTTTTGTTTTGGCTGTTGTTTGACTTCAGGAGTTCAAATACAAATGAGAAAAGTATCTATTGCACTGCAGACTTGAAAGGTGCTATTGATGCAAATAGTTATAATATAGCAAATGTGAAGATTTTCTCACAGCTCATCTACCAGTGTTAAAGTCCACACTTAAATTGTCAAACTGAAGCGGAGGAACACTTAACTTCTGGTTTATTAGCTTTCTGAAGCATCACCTAGGAGCTGCAGCTCCAGAAAACCCAGAAATAGAGGCACTCCGTTTGGAAGTAGCAGAAGTGAAAGAGAAATATGAAGCTGTGCTTGAAGAAAATAAAAAGTTAAAAGCAAAGGTAAGTATTGACTTAGTGTTTGCAGGCTCTTTAACATATTTAAACTGTAAATAGAAAAGAGTCCTGTGATGTTTACTCCATGAATATAACCACCTGTGCTAATTGGTGTTGAATGCAGATGTTTCTGTGTACAGGTGTGGAAGGGGATGGATTCTACTAGTTACTAATGGATTCCCAAGAGATTGAGGCCATTTCATTGATAAGATTAATGTTCTAATATTGCTAAATTCCTAGCTTATTTTTTATTTCTCTTTTAAGCTTTGGAAAACCAGTACAAAGAGAATTTTTCAAGCCAAATGGAGTGGAAGTGTAGGATTAACTTCATTTTTTTGAAATGATCTAAAACTAAATCTAGATGACACTTCTAAACAGTCTTTTCAAAATGATAACTGCTGGGGCTTTTTGTAGGCCACAAATCCAAGGAGAGAAGCTGCGTTAGGTCATTGTGGTCAAACGTCTGGTCCGTAGGCAGGATATTGCTTAGCGGAAACATTTGTGAATGCAGAATAACTTAGTGTTGTTAGGTGAACTGCAATAGTTTTTTCTTGCCTCTAACAGGGATCCCCTGCCCCTGTTAATAGATAGGCCTGAAGGGGCCAGGAAGGCAGTAAGGAGTAGCAT